TTAAGTCGTTTAAACATTTTAAAATACCCAAATAAAGGTCTAAAATTATTAGACTAGACAAAATAAAAATGAAATTTTAAGTCCCCTAATTGAAAAATCCTGCGTACGCCACTGCGGGCAACAATAGGTGCACGGGGTCAGCTAGTATTGAAAATTCAAATAAAATATGAATAATATATTAACATATATTTTTCTTTACCGATGACCTTGGTAGTAACACTCGGAGCAAGCCATAAAACGAGACTATTTTTGCATACCACATACGTATACGTATATCTGTTAGTAGGCTGCACAGAACGGTTTTTATTATAAATTTTGTTAAGATTATGTCAGCGCACCATTTGTGCTATCACAGTGGTCTTCAACCGGTGGGTCGCGACCCATTTTTGGGTCACGTAAGCTTTAAAATTGGGTCGCGATAAGTCTTCTTTTTAAAATAAAAATAAAATTTTTAAAATTATAAAAGAAAAAAAAATAATTTTTAATAATTACATTTAGAAATTTAATAAATGAAAATACAGTTTAAAAATAGTAGTGTATGTTGTGTATTATGTATCAACAATATTTTATAATTTATTGTGATTCTATATTCTATTATTATTATATAATACGTATAGCTTCCGTGGGTCGCGAAAAATGTAAGCCTAAAAATGTGGGTCGCCAGTCCAAAAAGGTTGAAGACCACTGTGCTACCACTCTGGGCCACGCGCAACATAGACAAAACACATTTACGCAAAATCATTTTTTCTATGTTTTTAAGTAATCTTAGCGTAAAATTAGCCATAACGAATAAGATAGAGAATAATATTTTTGAGGGAATGGCATATCGATTTTATATTTTATTGTTATTTTACTTTGTATTCGACTTTAAACAAAAAAATGCTGTACATTTAAATAATGTTTAAATTGTTTTGAGACAATATTAAGACAAATCGATACGTCATTCCCTTAAAAATATTATTTTCTATCTTTTTTGTAATAGGTGATTACTGATTTTACTCTAAGATTACTTAAAAACATAGGTAAAATGATTCTGCGTAAATTCGTTTTGTCTATTTTGTGGGTTTGCCCAGAGAGAGAAACCAAATAGTGAGCTGATATCCTCCTAATTAATCAAAATAGTTATACCTATATGTATATGGCGGGACTCCTTGATATTACAGAATGAATGAAAGATGACACACTCGTCTGGGATATATGTATATTATATAATAATACTAATTTTATACTATGTATTTATAAGTCGTATCATATCTGAACATATTATTTGATTACCTAATCATTATTGTTCTAGTGTTGTCCAAACTTCAAAAATTCCAGTTATAAATAATATAACCCATTTGTTTTTTCTTGAAATTTTAGATTCTGAGCGGAGCGATGAATGTATTGGTTTTACAATGATGTATGTTTTAGATTCTGAGTGAAACGATGAATGTATTGATTTTACAATGATGTGTGTTTTTTTATTTTTTTTTTTATTTTTTTATTTTTTTTTGTGTCTGTCATCACGTTTTAGGACAGTAAAAGTGCTTGGATTTTCTTCATCAGTAGCTTTTCTGATAGGAAAGTGAATCTAGTTGGTACTTTGGGGGGTCAAAAGTATAAATTTCTCAGTAGTTTTCACAAGCGCCGGGAAAAACAACATAAAAATTAAGGAAAAACGGGAATTTTTACGCAAAATTGGTTTTCCAAAAAATCGATTTTGGTTTTTGGTGTAACTCTGAAACAAATGAACGTATATACATGAAATTTTCACTGGTTGTTTATATTTGCATTTTCTATACACGAAAACATTTCCAAAATATTTTGATTTATTTTGAACTGTTTAGGGACATTTTCATTTTCCATTTTTTTTTAGTTTTTTTTCTAAAAATATCAATAAAATTTTATTTGTTGGTTGCGAAAGCTTGAAAATTTAATAGAAGGCTCCTAATATATTGTTTCAAAGGCAGATGAAAAATATTAAAAATCCTTAGTCACAATTTTTTTTTATAAGCATTTAAAATTCAAAAATTGACAAAATATGGGAAAATCACGAAAATTAGCAAATTATTTAGAGTTAAGAATTCGTAAAAATTTTTCTTTTTAAATCTAAGATTTGAAAATTAAACACAAGATTCCTTATAAGTTTGTCTACCTTTATCAAAAGAAAAATGTCTATAAGAAAGTCAAATTAAATTTTTATGAGCGTTTGAAATTCAAATTTTTACAACATTGAATATTCACTCGATTTCCCATGTAGCGATTTCCTAATTTTGTTGTAATTCAAAAACGAATAACTGTAGATACATGAAAATTTCACTGAATGTTTATATTAGCATTTCCTATACACCATACAATTTTGAAAATATTTTGACTCTTTTTGAGCTGTTTATGGACATTTACAGCTTTCAATTTTTTTTAGTTTTTTTTTCTATAAATATCAATAAAGTTTTATCTGTTGGGCCAAAAAGTGTAAAAATTTAATTCAAGACTCCTGATATATTGTTACAATATCATTTGAAAAATATTAAAAATACATAGGCACGATTTTTTTTTATAAGCATTTAAAGTTGGAATTTTGACAAAATTTATCAAAATCTCGAAAATTATCAATCGTTGGAATTAAAAAATTATAAAATGTTCAGTTTTTATAACTAAGAGTTGAAAATTTAAAACAAAGATTCTCTTAAATAATTCATACTGTAACCAAAAAATCTAAAAAATATATAAACACACTTATTTTTTACAGACATTTTAATTTCAAATCTAGACAAAATTTCATATTTAAACCAAGAATTACGATTTTAGTTATTTTGTTGTGATTGAATAATATTATTCGGGGGAACTTGAAACTTCTAAAGTTTACTATTATATATGTATGATAGTATCACGGTTTTTGTTGATGTATAACGCGTTATAAGTACCTAATGGATATTTTGATATGATTAATTTGGAATTTATTATAGGTACCCATTATAGGTCAATTTTTTGTTTAATACCATAGATATGTATATAATACCTATGTCTTATACATAGACTGACATACCGTCTCCACTCAGAATCGTTTTTCTTATACAATGATATTATATCGTTGAATTCAAATTTAATATCATCCATTATACAGTAACCCCCTTGTAACCTACTGTACAGCAGAGCGACACCCACTTGCCCACCTTTTTTTTTTATATTTTTATATTTTTGTGTCTGTCATCACGTTTTGGGACAGTAAAAGTGCTTCGATTTTCTTCAATAGTACCTTTTCTGATAGGAAAGTGAATCTAGTTGGTACTTTGGGGGGTCAAAAGTAAACATTTTCCAGTAGTTTTCACAAGCGCCGGGAAAAACAACATAAAAATTAAGGAAAAACGGGAATTTTTACGCAAAATCGATTTTCCAAAAAATCGAATTTGGTTTTTGGTGTAACTTTAAAACAAATGACCGTAGATACATGAAATTTTCACTGGTTGTTTATATTTGCATTTTCTATACACGATAACATTTTCAAAATATTTTGATTTATTTGGAACTGTTTAGGGACATTTTCATTTTTCATTTTTTTTTAGTTTTTTTTCTAGAAATATCAATAAAATTTTATTTGTTGGTTGCGAAAGCTTGAAAATTTAATAGAAGGCTCCTAATATGTTGTTTCAAAGGCAGATGAAAAATATTAAAAATCCTTAGTCACAATTTTTTTTTATAAGCATTTAAAGTTCAAAAATTGACAAAATATGGAAAAATCACGAAAATTAGCAAATTATTTTGAGTTAAGAATTCGTAAAAATTTTTCTTTTTAAATCTAAGATTTGAAAATGAAACACAAGATTCCTTATAAGATTATCTACCTTTATCAATAAAAAAATCTCTACCGGACAGTCAAATTAAATTTTTATGAGCGTTTGAAATTCAAATTTTTACAACATTGGATTTTCACTCGATTTCTCATGTAGCGATTTCCTTATTTTGTTGTAATTCAAAAACGAATAACTGTAGATACATGAAAATTTCACTGAATGTTTATATTAGCATTTCCTATACACCATACAATTTTGAAAAGATTTTGACTCTTTTTGAGCTGTTTACGGACATTTTCAGTTTTCAATTTTTTTAGTTTTTTTTTTTATAATTGTCAATAAAATTTTATTTGGTGGGCCAAAAAGTCTGAAAATTTAATACAAGCTTTCTTATATATTGTTACAATATCAGTTGAAAAATTTTAAAAATACATAGGCACGATTTTTTTTTATAAGCATTTAAAGTTGGAATTTTGACAAAATTTATCAAAATCTCGAAAATTATCAATCGTTGGAATTAAAAAATTATAAAATGTTCAGTTTTTATAACTAAGAGTTGAAAATTTAAGACAAAGATTCTCTTAAATAATTCATACTGTAACCAAAAAATCTAAAAAATATATAAACACACTTATTTTTTACAGACATTTTAATTTCAAATTTAGACAAAATTTCATATTTAAACCAAGAATTACGATTTTAGTTATTTTGTTGTGATTGTATAATATTATTCGTGGGTACTTGAAATTTCTAAAGTAATCTACTATATATATCTATGATAGTATTAGGGTTTGTTGTTGGTGTATAACGCGTTATAAGTACCTAATGGATATTGTGATATGATTAATTTGGAATTCATTATAGGTCAATTTTTTTTAATACCATAGATATGTATATAATATGTCTTATACCTAAAAGGACATACCGTCTCCGCTCAGAATCGTTTTTCTTATACAATGATATTATATCATTGAATTCAAATTTAATACCATCCATTATACAATGACCCACTTGTAACCTACTGTACAGCAGAGCGACACCCACTTGCCCACCTTTTTTAATTTGTTAACAACGATCGTGAATAGCTGTTCAAGTCCCTAAGTTGTTATGTAATACTTCAACACAATGATACCTATAATGACCAATAGGTAGTTATAGTATAAACTGTGATTACTATTTAAATCTATTGACATATTAATTTAAATGTAATTTACTTTCCCCATACAGTGCTGCAGCTATGGAGGATTTTGCTCTCTGGCAGGCCCATGACGATATACAAGACATGTACTGTACGCTACCGGATGATGATGGGGAAGCCGAGTATGTTGACCTATCTCTAAATCCTGAACGATACACTGGATACAAAGGACCTTCGGCTAATCGCGTTTGGAATACAATTTACATGGAAAACTGTTTCAGGTGAGTGTTAATGTGTTTTTGTTTAATATTGGTGCAATTAAAACTTGATATCAATTTTTTTAGGCCAAAAAATTTATTTGAAGGCTACATTATATCAGCAAAGTTGACTGGTAAATACTAAATTACTTATAATCTGTTTTAATTAAAATTGTATACAAGGAATTGATTACAGGAATGTGTTTGGAGAAACGAACATTTTATCGAGCTATTTCGGGTCTTCATACAAGTATTAATATCCATCTTAGTGCTCAATATCTATTATCAGGTATGTGCGTAAATAGAAATATTTATTTAGTTCTAAACAAATATATATATATATATTACCTAAATATTATTATTTTGTATTTTTTAATATTTTTGTATAAAACACATTTAATATACATTTACTACTCTTAATAGATAAAGGATCGACATTTTTGAACCCATGTGGCACCGGTTTTTGGGGCCCAAATGCTGAAGAATTTGAACGTAAGTTTGGTCCTAAGTACACAAGAGGTGAGGGCACACAGTGGCTCAGAAATTTATATTTTTTGTATCTCGTTGAACTGAGAGCATTACAAAAAGCTGCACCTTTACTCAAACAAGTTGAGTATTATACAGGAAATGATAAAGAGGATGAAGCCACTCGATTGGCTGTCCACAATTTCTTAGGAATTATCAAGTAAGAATTTTTTATTAGTTATTTTAGTTTTGTTTATTTTTATTTACGGTTGGTATTTTTTCCAGAAAATTCCCACAGCAATTTAATGAGCATACCATGTTTTTGGGTGGACAACAGGCACAAAAGTTAAAAGAAGAGTTTCGTCTTCATTTCCGTAATGTATCAACCATTATGGATTGTGTGGGATGTGATAAATGCAGACTGTGGGGAAAACTTCAAGTACAAGGATTGGGAACAGCTCTGAAAATATTATTTTCAAACAAAGCTCGGACGAATGGATATAATGAATTGTCGACCACTGTCAACAAGCACACATTGCAATTGGAACGTAGTGAAATTGTTGCTCTCTTTAATGCGTTTGGAAGGTGAGAAAAATTGTCTTAAATATTTGTAAATTTGTTGTAATATTATATATTTATTTTAAGGTATAATGTTTAGGTCTAAAAGTTATAACTAGCGTTTGGATGTTATTAACATATTTTTTTTTAATGATTTTATTGGTGTTTTTTTACCGTTGAATTGCTTTTCTTGGAGTTTTGTCTTATAAAATGTATCTTATAATATCTACATATTTAGAATATTTGAAACGTTAAAATTTATTTGCATACTGTCTAATGTCTGCAGAATAGATAAAATTTATTTTATACTGTACCTAATGTTTAATTTATTGATTTTAAGAAATAACATATCGTAGACCTGTAGTAGATACATAAATACATGATCTAAAAGTATTCATTAGTTTTAAATAAACTTTTCCGTCGCGTAATGTGTAATTTTTCCATACTTTTTACTTGCAGCAATTACATGTATAACTTAAGTTATATTAGTGCATTTTTGTGCTCTATTTGAACTTTGAAGCCCTTATTAAGTTTTTATACAGCTACAACATCTGAACTCTAGTTATAACATTTATTATTATGTATTAAATATGTAAATATCTTAATATTATGTAAATCTAATATTATTTTAGATTATCTACAAGTATATATGAAATAGAAAAATTTCGGAAGCTTTTGAGGTGAAGAAATTGAAATTGTGTAAGAAAAACATCACAACTCATTTTGATTTACTACAGATGTACAATACATTGTTATCACTGCATTCCTTCCTTACTTTTCTTTTATAAGTTTTATATAACTGTAAGTATGTGATCGGTTAATAGTTTTTTATTAAACCATCGAGTAGTCATACACTTAACTGAATTGACAGATAAAAACCTCTTGGTGGTATTTAATTTATTTTAATATTTTTTTTTCTGATTGAATGATTTTAAATACTGACAGTCAAAAAAAAATCTGTTTAAAAGCTCTCTATGTAAGAACGATAAAATGTACTATTAATTTATTGAAGAATGCCAATATTTGTTTTACAAACATTGTTTGGTGGAACTTTTCTATAGTCTAGTCCTTTTAGTGTATTTTTTTCAAATGTCTTTGTTTTTTGTTTTATGTCTCAAGTGGTAAATTTATGTCTGTACAATTGTTATTTATATTTTTTACTTGGTTTTTGTGTTGTATTATTTGTTATGTTTATTTAATCTCAAACTTTAATTTACAAGTTAAATCAACTATAGTATACCCAATACCCATGCACAAATTATTTTTATATTTATATTAATGGTGTGAGGTCTTGTGTAATTTTTAACAATACAATATAATTGTCTTTCTAAAAATAATTGTTAAAACTATGAGAGCTCAAAATGGGGTTTTATTACATAATAGATATACATTTGATATAAAATAGAATATGGTTTATGTATAAAAAATAGTGGCTACTGTGATAAGGTATGAAAGGTCAGAACAAATTAATCATAATAATGTATTATGTTTAGTCTAGATTCATATAGAATTTGTGTATTGTTAATGTATGTATGTGTTATGTATCTATGTATTTATTTATTTATTTATTTTATTTTATATTTTATATAATTAAGTTGATAATTCATGTAAAAATATCTCAGATGACTAATTGATACCTACTGTTATTAATCCTGTTAATTACTAAAATATTACTTCTGTTTTAATTAAATACTCAAGTCTATAAGCAAAAAAACAACTTTAAACTATCAAAGTGTGAAATTATCTAATTAATATTATATATCATCGTTTATTGTTAATTATTGTGTTGACTTATAAATTGCATTTGAAACATTGGAGCAAATGCATGCATATTATCATTGGTTATAAATACTATATACGATCCTTCAAATGTATATCGTATTTCTTGAATAAATGATAACAGAGAATTATTAAATTATTAAATTAAATGTTAATGGGACATCTTTAATTCTCTGATCTAATAATAATAATAAAATAGTACCTACCATAGGTAGATACTACCATTTGTATATGTGTTTACTTTCACACCTCTTTTACGGTGTATACTTTTTCCATTATTATTATTATTATTTACAATGTAACTACTAACTAATGGCCTGTGTTGCTGATGTTTATTTTTGATTTATAAAAAAAAAAGTCACGCTAATAGTTTTTAAATTTCCACCTTCAAATCATACCTACATACAAAATAAAATGTGGTATTTTGTTTATATCATCATAGGCGTGCACAGACTTATGTGGCAGGGGAGGTAAGCCAATGATCATTAATATAGATACTTTAAACAAAAAACAATTTAAGTGTTCCATACTTTATTTTACTCACTGCCCACTAGTCACCAACTAGGTACCTACCTAGTTAAGCCATAAAATAAAAATAAATAATTTTTTGTTCAAAATCTAATAAGAAATATTATAATAGTCAACATAGTTTTGAATCTTCAATACATATTATATTTTCGAAATCTGTAATGTCAATATATTAGTTTTTAATTACATACATGATACATATTTAAAATGTAATATGAATTTAACAGTTAATAATTCCATTCGTATTAAAAGAAGAATATATATTGTATTAGCTATAAAATAATAAAATATTGGAGATACCGAATATTTATTATTTGTGTATGAGTATATTTAATAAATAACTATACAACGACTTTTAGATTCTGAGTGATGCAATGAATGTATTGATCAGATTTTACAACGATGTGTGTTTATTTTAATTTTTAAAATTTTTGAGTCTCTATAATTAGGTACGCTATAGTTATGAAATAATGTTTCGATTTTCAACTTCGGTATCTTTATTCTTTTCCGGTGGGAAAGTGAATCTAGTTGGTGCATTCTGCAAGATATTCTGGATATTCAAATTAGTGTTCAAAAGCGCCGGAAAAAACAAAAAGAAATTTAAGAAAAACAGTAATCTTTACACAAAATCGATTTTGGTTTTTGGTGTAACCATACATAGACTGTCTACTTATAGACCGGCCAAAAGCATTGATTGTCGTGAGCTAGGGGCGTATTTATGGGGGTGGCTGGGTGGGCTGCAGCCCCCCCTGAAATTTCAAGAAAATCCAAAAAATATGAATGTCAATAAAACTTTATTTGTTGGGTAAAAAAGCTTGAAAATTTAATACAAGGCTCCTGCTATATTGTTACAATAGCAGTTGAAAAATATTAAAAATCCTTAGTCATAGTTTTTTTATAAGCATTTAAAGTTCGAATCTTGACAAAATACGGAAAAATCACAAAACTTAAAATTTTGCTGAATGTTTTCATTTTTTATACACCAAAAAATTTTGAAAATATTTTGCCTCTTTTTGAGCTATTTACGGACATTGACAGTTTTCATTTTTCTTAGTTTTTTTTCTATAAATATCAATAAAAATTTTTTTGTTGGGTAAAAAAGCATGAAAATTTAACGCAAGGCTCCTGATATATTGTAACAATATTAGTTGAAAAGTATTAAAAATACATAGGCACAATTTTTTTCTTATAATCATTTAAAGTTCGAATTTTGACAAAATTTATCAAATTTAAAATGTAATAAATATTTTGTAATTAAAAATTTATAAAATGTTCAACTTTCATAGTTAAGGATTAAAAATTTAAAACAATGGTCCACGTAAATAGGTAAATATATAAATTACTTTATTTACAATAATATCATCAAATATACTTAGTAGGCTGATATCATAGGCTGACTGGACCGTTTTCGCTTAGAATCGTTTTTCTTATACAATGATATTATATCATTGAATTCAAATTTTACACCATCCATTACAGTGACCCACTTGTAACCTCCTACTGTACAGCAGAGCGACATCCACTTACCCATTTTTTTGTTTTATTGTGTGACTATGTTGATAATTTTGTTCAGCCCCTCCCGAAATAAAATTCTGGATACGCGCCTGTCGTGAGCCAACATAGCACAGTGATGCAGCCCGTAGCCCGTTTAGTACAAATTTATAGATATATTTTATATTGTATCAGAGGAACTATCGGTAACCGAAAAGCGTCACCTATCGTTAGTAGGTATAGAAGTGGGCCGGTTTATTAGTAAAATAGGGTGTAACTCTAAATAATACACCTTACTTTAAATACATTATGACATTTTCACTGAATGTTTATCCACCATTCAATTTTCAAACACTTTTGAATCATGTTGAGTGGTAATTGTGGTATGAAATGTTTGATTATTAGGTATTAATTTTATTTAAACGAAAGTCGTTAAAAAAAATGTTCGCTCTGTCAAAAACCTTGGAAATGTATTACAAGTTTCCTCGTCATAGTGCCGTAAAAACCGGGTGTGCAAAGTGTGCACCGCCCACAGGCCTCGCGACTCATAAGATATCGAAGGGCCTCAAAAAAATCTAAAGACTAATATTAAACTAATATAAAATTATTAAAATATATAAATTATTTATTATTGATTTGGAAACGAAACCAATGTTGTTTCATTTTTTTTATATAGCATGGAGTCGTGGTCACTGTTTTTAGATTTTGAGAGGAACGAACAAATGTATTGATTTTACAAGATGTGTATAATTTTTTTCATTTCTGTCGGTCATCAACATTGGGTAGTAAAAATATTCCGAATTTCGAGATCAGCATTTTTTCTGTTAGAAAAGCGAATCTAGTTGGTACTTTTTGGAGATCGAAACTGAAATTTTTAGTTTTAGATAATAAAAACCGGCAATAAAAAAAAAAAAATTGTCATTTTTACCTAAAACCAAAAATTTTATTTTTTGGTATAATTCGAAAACTAATAACCGTAGACCATTGAAGTTTTCAACAAATATTTATATTAATATTTTCAATAAATTACATTTTGGAAAATTTTTACTTTCTTGAGTTAGTTATAGCCTTGAGAAATTGTTTTAAAATTATAGATTATTAAAAATTAAATTTTTTTTTTTTTGTTTAAGGCCGAATTTTTGTCTGCTGACTTTAAAAATTGCAAAAAAGTTTTTGAGGTGTGTATTGAAAAAGATAAAATAGGCCTCAATATTTTGGTTTTGCACACAGGCCTTAAGTAGCCTAGTTACGGCACTAATCCTCGTAAGTTGGTGTTGGCGGAAATTAAAAAACAATTTAGCCTAAATCCACAATTATGTTTCCATGATAATTTCAAAGTTAAGTCAATTTATTAAAAATGTAGGTATTGTGTACACACGGTGATAATTATATTGTAATACCTAATATGACAAATGCTTTATTTATTAATAATACATACATCAATATGCAAAAAAAATAGACATGATTTCTGAAAGGGGGGGATCAAAAAAAAAAAAAAAACGACAGCTAATGAAAGGGAAAAATTTAGAAAATCCCCCAACCTCTCAAAATTTTTTACTAAGGTAATAAAAAGCCAATGGGGAATCATAAATTTAAATTTTTCTTCACTGTTCTGTTGCGTCGTTGTTATTTCTTATGTAGGCACCTATTATATTTTTTAATAAAATAAAATTTAAATTTTTCGCGTTACTTTGACTTTGTTACTTATATATTTTGTGAAGATAATTGTTGATGTTGATGTATCTCTTAATTCGTTGATAACCTGGTGTTTTTTTATAACTGCTTTATTTTTTATTTGTTTTATTGTTGTTTTAGCAAGATTTATTTTTAAATATGTATCTGTTAGAACTTCAACAAATTTTATGATTGATGTATATGATTGAAAT